ACAAATGAACAATGAAGCTACTATGTACCTCAATAAATACCAGGATGAGGATTTTAACAAGCTTGCAAAAATTAACATGCCATGAAAGAATTTTATTTTGGTTGTGAAATTTAGCTCTTATGCTTGTTATGTACTTTTGCAAAAGCAAGGCTCTAGGCTTGACAAATTTTCTATGCACAATTGGTTTGAACAGCAACATATGCTAGAATATTCTCCTCTCTAAAGCTGTGCCACACCAGATGCATATAATTATACAGGGGCTTGGTTCAGTATTATGAACCAGTTAGCTATGTCTTTCCCAGGCTCTCCACTGTGACCTGGTGCGTACCTATGAGGTTGCAGCAATCAACTTAGAGATGGACAACATGAACAACAACGCAGTCCACATTGCCGCAATGAAAGGCAGGGAAGACATCTTCAAGGTAGCTATAACGACTTTAGCCCATGCTGCAAATACACATGAGTGAGTTTCAGTACTTGCTTTGTTTGTCCGTCTCTATGCTACCACATTGTCTGCCACCATGCACAACAAGCTGGCCAAAAAGCAATATTAATAGGCTCAGTGTCAATACTGGCTTGGTATTATGTTTGTTGTGTGCAGGCCCTGCTACCTGCAGCCCCTGAAAGGATTATTGCTGTACTCACCAAGAAAAATGGAGAGGGGAAAACCCCACTCCAATTGGCGGTTGACAAAGGCAACTCTGGGTAATTGGATGGGGTAGGCTGTTATGTTGTACATGTCCTAGCATTCCAACTAGTGAAGTGAGCCTTCCTGATTGTGACTTAAACATTGCGCATGTGAGAAAACCACAGAGTGGTTCAACGGTTGCTTGCATTTGTTTCCCAGAACTTTTTTGCTTTCTTCTAGTCATAGTGTACCCCATAAGAGTTTTTATCAGGGTGAAGGTACAATACCTAAGCTGCAAGTTTAGCTATATGTTGACATCAACTAAGTCAGCTTGTGTTCTTTATTATACCAGTCTGTTTGAGACTCTGCCAGCCAAGAACACAGAGTTCCGTGAGGCATGGAAGGTCCACAATGACGCCCTCCTCCTGTATGCCTGTGTCCATGGTGGTGTGGAGAGTGTGGCTGCTATCATGGCACTCAACAGCTCTGCTCAGATACGCAGGTTCTTATTCACTGCGCAACTTTTCTGAGCGGTCACACTCATACAGTCAAAACAGCGTATGCAGGTGTTTCACTTGCTAACAATGGTTTACAAGTTGGTGAGCAAAGCACCAAGTCACCTGAAATGCACAAACATTTTGCAATGCACATGCACAAATAAAATTGCTCTATTTACTGCTTTTACATATTTTCTCGCCATAAAATAATGTCTCCGGGTGTGCAGTCCAAAGGGTCGGACTCCCCTATCGTGTGCAGCTGAGGCTGGTAATGATGACATCGTTGGATTCCTGTTGTCGTGTACAGTGACCACCAGTGAGGGAAGAATACTCTCAACCTCTCCTGAAGGCAGTGGAGTCCCTGAGGTGAGGGACAGAGGCAAATAAGGAGTTGAACACCGAGCATTCCTGATCTGCGACTTTGTTTTTGCACAAACCCCAGATGTATGATGCTTGTTTAATAAAGGTCCAACTGTAAGATAATGTGGCATGGGCAGTAACGATGTACCCCATGTAGTCTAGCTGTAGTATTAAGAAAACATTATGCTCCAATGAAACAATTTTGATTTTGCAAGTGTAAGTTCCAGTGCTGAAATGATTGGCACATGACAAAATATTTTTTCTGAGTCGTCGGCTACTCAGTACACAAGAACAATCCTGTGTTTCTCTCTCCCTTTCTTCTTCCCCTACACTGACTGGGTATATATATATATCTACAGTATAATCCTCTGCTGCTGGCAGCCAAGAATGGCCATGCCAAGGTATGTCGGAGGCTCCTGGACAAAGGAGCCAGTGTCAACACACCACGAGACAGCAAGACCAATTTTACCCCTCTCATGGTAGCCATTGATGAGGGGAACAGGTGAGGCAGAGCACTACAGGGAGACAGCTTGTCCCTTTAGCACATGAAAACCATGGAATCCTATTATTGAGTGACCTCAATTGTTGTAGACCTACCAATTAATACTGTCACAACAAGATTTCTTGTCTTTGCAATACACTCTCAAAGACAAGATTTCAGGGTTTTAAAAGTATTCTCTGTCAGATGCAGCCAGCTCTTAAATGGCTAACATTCTCAAAAGTGTTTCTTTCTGTAAAAAGTTACTATTGTGGTCCATTTGTGTAGGGAAGTAGTGATCACGATTCTGTCGGATGAGGCCCAGGGACTGGAGGCGATGAGGGTGTGTGTGGAGAAACCGAGGCTGTGTGAAGATGACGAGGGAGAGACACAGATTGAGATCACCACTCCCATGAGGATGCTCATTGAGGAGATGCAAGGTAGCTAACCTCCTGAATAAATGGCAATTGAATAACTGTGGGAGAGTATGTGATACTAAGCTTGGTGTTGTGTATAGACTCATTCCTCACTATACATGTGTGTATAGCACAGTGCGTAATTTGTGTCCAAATCAACACACAGTATAAGCATTAAGTTACTCTGGTGACGAGTATCGAGTCCATGCAGCACTGCCTCCAACACTAGCTACTGTTCTAGCTAGCGAGAGTGAAAAGCTGATGCAGTCGTGAGGTATACCATGCGGCTTGGCCCAGGAAAGCTCTGCATTAGTGCACAAGAATTTGTGTCTTCACCACCAAACAAGTATCTTGTGTGTGTATAGATGTGGCAGAGTGGATGATGAATCGCAGCATCTACTGCTGCAGTGGTGATCAAGGAGAGGAGAGTGGGGAAAGCCCCGTCGTTGAATACTCATTTCAGTTCCTCGAAGACTTCCAGGAGGAAAAATACAGACTTCCGTTACTTACCGCAAGGTGTCTCATCTACACAACACTGACACTTAATTTCGCAGACTGCGATTTGCACTGGCAATGACTCATTGTGCATAACACTAATAGAACCTTAGGGGAAAGTATCTTTTGAATACAATGCTCCCTACTTTCTCATAGAGATGTTTACATGTAAACACTATTGAAGTGTAGCCTATCAAGCTAGACCCTCTCTCCCCCGCATGTGTTATTCCGCGCGTGCATTAATTTGAAGTTCGTCTCTCCCCTCCATGCTGCATGAGCTTAAAATAACGCGCGCTGCAGGGAGAGAGGGTCTGGATCGAATGACCAAATTGTAGTGTTACCATGTTCTAATATGGTCAATGTAATAGTGCGTCGTCGTTGCTTGGACTGAGGATAGGAAGTGACAGGACAAGGTATACATCCCCAGTTCCTGGACCAGTTAGTCTCGATCTCGGGAACGGGAAGGAGGAGACAGGGGACGAGGGAGGGAAGAAACCAGAGGAGGTGGAGTCAGCACTGGTGACCACAACTACAACACCTGTTGCCACAGTGACTATCCAAGCTACTGGTGAATGTGAACACATAGTTTGCACTCTCAGAAAACGCTTAGAGGGTGTTTTTGGACATTCCTCAATACTTGTGTATGAATGTATACACTTCATGATCATTCTTACACTCTCATTCTCACATGGTATATCTCTCCATGGCCACAGCTAAGGAAATGGACAATATATTTGAGCATTCCTCCTCCGGTACCTCTGGTCCCTCTGGCATGCCAGATGAGGTGGCAGAGGCCGAGGGGCTACTCACCAACCCAGGCCACACAACCACCAACAAATGGGGACCGATCCTCTACAACAGGGACCACCACCCCCTGCACATTATGGTACACATAGCATGAGTCACTATTACTACAGGTATCGATAATATATAATGGTCTACTGTGTTTGTGTGGTAGCTAGCTACATAGACACACAGAACCATTCCCTGACTTTTTGGACTTGAAAACACATTTTTCAGATAGCTCATAGCAGCTTACTTGGTCTGAAAAAGGTGCAGGACGCATGATTGACACACTTCTAACGGACTTTCATTGTGCCTCAGGTGAAGCACAAGAGAGCAGAGCTACTGAGACATCCCCTGGTGTCCAGGCTCCTGGAGTACAAGTGGAGGAAGGTGGCCCTCCCCCTGTTCCTGGCCTACATCGCCCTCTACATCCTCTTCCTCCTCCTCCTAACTCTGTTTGCCATCCTGTCGCCCAGACCTTCTCCCAGTGGAGACACATGTAAGTATGTGTATATGTAATTGGCTCTTGGACTATTTTACCCCAGTTTATTAGAGCTCAGTAAACTAGCTCTGCCGTCTTGGGCACTCTCTCCTTTCTACAGAGCGTCGGTAGACGCTCTATATAGGGATGAGACGAGTGAAATCTCACGTGATCCGCGTACAAAACGCCTCAAAACTCAGCGAGAATGACTCACCATGGCTTCAAAATCACTAGTAATAGTCTAGAGGCCAATACCTAGCTATACATATGCCCCAAGACTTCCTACGTGCCCTCAGTTCCCCACGAGAGAATTCGCACTTACGCGATTTTGCGATTTTCGTGTCATCATCATATTCTTCATCATCTTCTTCTTCTTCTTCTTCTTCAGACCCGCTAGCTCCTTACCGGAAGCAGTTGAAGCGTTGATTTTTTCACAGAACGTCTCCAAATTTTCCGGAGGTGTGCACGCATATCAAGCGATCGCTTGTTTCTTGCCGCAAGTCACTACGGTAGATCGTTGAGCTCTTCCACAGTAGTCACTGGACAACGCCATTTGCTGCTAACTCAGCATCAGTGAGCGAGCCGCATGCGCCGATGAGGGCGTTTCCCCAATCAATGCGGTGCTCGCGCATATCGCGCATGCGTGAACCACACTAAGCCAGGATGCCTAGCCTGCAGAGGAACTCTTATCCCCCAGTGCCTTCTGTAAGTCAGTATACACATTTTTAACTGGCTAGCTTGCGTTTTGCTGTTGATTTGTACGAGGAGTTGAGGTGTTGAGAGATCCATCATTGTGCTACAGATGACTCTGTACATTTTCCTCACTATGGTTTTCACTGCTCACAGGTGTGTTGGAGTTTCATGACTCAGGAACTAACGCCAACAAGACAAGTCAGTAATAATAGCAATTTCCACCTGTAATTGAAAACATGGTCTTTATCTTTTTTCACAGATGGAACTTGCAATGGTACGAGATACAAAGATTAGTGTTTAGGGAATAGGGAGCTCTCTATTGTATTTTTACCGTTACCTCTGTGTCTCCAGGTCTGAAGGAATCCACAGAGAGCTACCTGAGGGGCAGTGCAGTGTTTCTCATCCTCCTAAGCCTCTTCTATCTGTCCATAGAGACTGTCCAGGTCCTCCGTCGCAGGAAACAGTACCTCACAGAGGGAGAGAACTACATACAAGTCCTCACCTTCCTCTTCTCCATGATCTTTGTGTCTGGCTTTGGCAACGAGTGTTGGTGTGCCCCCTCATGGCAGTGGCAGTTTGGAGCCCTCGCCCTATTCCTGGCCTGGTTCAACCTGGTCATTCTACTGAAGGACATGCCGTTCACTGGGATCCCCATAAACATGCTGTTTAATATCTGCCTGACGTTTGTGGGACTCGTGTTTCTCCCCGTCCTACTCATCATCTCGTTTGCCCTGCCCTTCTACATGCTGTTTGTGAGAGATGTTGAGTCAGTGGATGTAAGCTCTATATACCACTTCATTAAAGGTTTATGCCCTCTGAAGCTTAAGATTGTAGCATTTGTTCATGCACCTTTACTTTCCTGTGTGTATATTGCAGAGCGTCGTCTTCCTATTGTGCCTCTTCATCATATACTCCCATACTTCAGCCTACACCTCGTAGCATAGGGGAAACATTTTAGGTTTGAGAGCCATCTGTGGAAGAATATCTGGGAACAGATTTTGCAATAGGCATTACCACTGTGTGAAAGTCTCTCCATAAAATTTTCTCCAGCTGTATGTTTCCGTACTTGCTAGTCATTGTATGTCTGTATTATCTTCTCAGGGTGATGTAGGGCCATTGACAGCCTTCTGGAACCCAGCTCGTGCCATTGCCAAGACTGTCATGCAGACTGTCGGAGAGCTAGACTTTGAAACAATCTTTAACGATGGGAACCTCCTCTATTCCCCCACAGCATACCTCCTGTTCTTCACGTTTGTTGTTATCATGCCGGTTCTCTTCAGTAACCTACTGGTGGGTCCTAATCAGTAACAATAAACTAATCTTCTATGGGACTTTACTTATTGTGAATCTTGTGTAAGATATGGGGCCTCCTGCTAGCAACACATGAAGCTTATGGTATGAAGTTTTTGAGCAGTATGACTGTGTGGTGGGTATGCCCATGTGTGTATTTAAAGACCGATATTATATCTATTGACAGGGTGTAGTTGATGGTTGTCGGTATAAGAGGGGTGCACATGCTGTGTAGCTATTTCATTGCTGTATGTAGGTTGGTCTGGCAGTGGGTGACACTGCGGAGGAGAAAGAAAAGGCCACGTTCACACGAACCAGACTCCAGGTTGAGTTTATCCTGGAGCTGGAGGCCATGTCTGTCTTTCTCAGAGGACAGATGAGACCTCCCGACAACAGACGCCGCAACTGGAAAAAGGTTGGTAGCTATAATATATTTTTTCAGATTACAATGTGTGTCATGATGAAACAATAGATGAGCAGAATCCGTAAGATGTATCTGAGTATGATGGGACTCAGTTATAGAACACAAGTGGAGCTGGTAAAAGAGCTACGTGAAAAGGACGAGGATTTCATAGACTCTGCACTAAAAGTAAGGCCCAACAACCTGTATCCTATAACACATACTGCTTGCTCACATAACTATGGCGAATCATGCGGTGAATATGGCGAATATGGCGAATGGATGTCATGGGAGCGTAACTCATTACTTATTGAGGCTCTGAACATGTTAAGGCCTGTCTTTTTAGCTGTTAAATCTATCTATGTGGCTTCTGTTTTCAGGAGAAAGGCCCAACACATGAGCTCCAGATGAAGGTGGAAGGTTTGGGCGTAAAGACGGTGAAGGTGGACGAGGATGTGAGAGTTATGAGGGAGGAGGTGGGAGGGGTGGAGAGGAAGCTGGGGGACAGGCTCCAGGCAGTGGAGAAGAGTCTCTCTGAGCTCAAGGTTCTCCTGGAGCAACTGGTCAAGTCCATGACTGCATCCAGAGAAGAGTAGAGATTAGACAGACAGTGTGTGTTCTAATATATAGCAGCAATAAGTAGACGTGTGTTTTGAAAGCATGGCGTGTATATAATTATGATCCCCTGCGTTTTAATCAAAGAGTATTGGACAAAAAGTGTGCATGTATGCACTATGACTAGCTATAGGCAACAAGAACAAGAACTTTCGCTGCCGAGGTTATTCATGTGTTATGCGGACGAGGCTGCTGCGCCCTAGGAATTTGAAGCAGAAATTCCTATATGACAGGCATATTTGTTCTTTTTAACTTGAGTGCACTCAGGTTTTCTGTGGCAAACTATACGAATTCTGTAAAATGGGGGAGTCTAATAATTAATTTGTAGGGTAGAAACAAGATAAATCACGCATTTGTTCAAACAGTATGGGAGAGGGGTGTAGGGTATGTGTGCACACGTCTCTATTTACGTCTCTTATGTCAAAAACAGCTATCCGTGTCATAACTCATATTCACTGAAATTGGTTTACTTAGATAACATGACACTCTGTCGTCTAGTTAGTGTGTTGCCATATTACCATGTATAATAATTATTGGTCAATTCCTGCTCTCAGTTCCAAGAATGTATTGACTTAGTAGCTCGAATGTTAGCTAAGAGCACAGCTCCATATTAACTCATGTGCAATTTTTGCTTAAATAAAGGGAGTGCATATCACGAAAATAAAATAAAATACTTGCTGTTTCATCTTGGCGTGTTTATATACGATTGCCTGGTATAATTGTAGAATAATGGAGGATGGAAAAAAATCACAATTTAGAGTATATATTGTTGTATTGTTCATTGACATGGGGTGTTAGCTACTGGAGTGCAGTTGGATTTGCCCATTGCACATCCAAGAATCTCGCTTGGTGCTCTGACTAAGACGCACTCGCCACGCAGCTACGGTAGAATATCTCCCACGGACTAGTGGCAGACACCGTGTGGTAATGGCAATAATTAGCGTTTCTATAATACGGAAGTTTGACTTCGCGTGGATATAAAAGGCTGCTCAGCATAAGTTTAGCCATTGGAGCTGTAGTTATAGCACAATGAATGTTGCTACCGTGTGCGTTCTGCTGCTAGCAGTAGCGGTCGTCCAGATTTACTGCAAGAAGTCGAAGCCGGTCTGCTACCACCCTGGAATGACTTGCAAGAGCAATGGAAAAGGTGGCGGTAGCTACTGGCTGCTGGCGGCGCAGGACTACCTACCCCCCGAAGTACTCTATGGTACTGGTGGTCATGGCAATGGTGGTGGCTCCAGCTGGCTAGTGGCGATGCAGGAGTCCAGGGACCGCGCCAATGCTAAACTCGCAGCGGTGAAGGCGTTCATGTGCGACTGCTGTTGTGCGTCGGTTCCGTGCTCTCAAGAGAGTCTCTGTGGAACCGATCGCAATTGTCCTGTTAATGACTGTTTCGCGCATATACTAGGTACGTTTTTTCTGCAAATTACTCTAACAAGAATCATTTGTTGTGGCTTTTCTCAGCGAAAGCCGCAGCAGACGATACGCCGATAACCCCCAACTACCCCGCGGAGATTTTGACGGCGTCGCTGTTCGCGGAGAAGGCGCTGCAGAAACAGGAGAGGGCGGAGCTCCAAGACTTGATGGAGGACGTCGTTCAGATGAGGGATGACAACGCTTAGTCTTAGCAGTGGGAGCGGCTGAGTCTCATGCATGAACATAAGTGTTTGTGACTTCAAATAGTGAATAGTTTAGTCGTTGTTGCAATAGTGTGTCAACTGTTGTAGTAATTCAGAAATTAATTTTAGCGGGGCGCGTAAGTGCGCATGCACGATGCGCGCGCCGGCCCGCCCGTAAGTGTCCTCGCCTCGCCTCCTAGTACCTGCAGTGGTGTGCAAACAAGCCCAAGTGCAAGGCCAGAGAATCGACTTGCAGGTATATTACCACAGCTAGCTGCATCAGGCAGGATTAAAAAAATGTTTTGTTCAGTAGCGCTTAGAGTGCAAACGGAGGCCTGTAGCTATACGTACGTAGCTATAGCAAAAGGTTTCCCGTATATTAGTATCGTAGAAGGTAGCCTCGTTCCCAGGCCGTTTTGGCTTAGGAAAAGCCTAGATATTCAGAATTGACGGTTGTTCGGCAGGTATAATTTGACTAGAGCAGACTTTGTTACTTTACACAAATGGAGATATTGGCAGATTAAACCAAGGGAAATGTGCATTCGACATACAATCTATAGCCAAACGCTATTCTATACAAGTAAGGAAGCTTGGCCAGTAGCAGTGCACTCAACACTCTCTCCCCTGGATGTTAGACTGCAGCATCAGTCATGAGCTTTCTGCACATGGGCCAAGTTCACTTCTTCCGGCTCCAGTGTTGCACACACAGTGTGGGCTTGATTCTATATACTGCAAGCTGGCGTATCGTGTGTCTGATATGAGTGGGAGCATGCTACACTACCACGTTGGTGGTCGCCTCACGGTAGGGGGAGGGCAATCCACTAGCTATAATACTCAGGGATTGCAAGATCTAGAGTCTAACAAAATCTGAACACCCACCAGGTTCAACAGAGCTGTCCATTATAGTGTTATCTAGCAGTAAGATACACTGTGCTTATCAAAATCACACCCACATTTTCAGAACGGGGCGAGGAACCAGTCCACCTTACCACTAGAGGTGCCCACAACTGAGCAAGCTCAGTAAAGCATATCAGCAGCTATTCTAGCAAGTCTACAGGTTTGTCTTACTACACACAATTCATAAATACTCTCAAGTAGATATGAGAGGGTACATGCAGTTAGTGCTACATACTAGTGAATGTGCAGATGCGTAGCTGTATGAAAGCAACGCAGCGCTTACTTAAATGTTTGCTGTGTAGCTATTATATGGAGTGATAATCAGTGCAAGCTGTGCAGTTGATGGCCAACGAAAATTTTTTCATGGGGTAGACTATTAGTCAGAATGCCACATTTAGGACTACAACCACATATTCAACGCTTACGTGCTTTTGGGACAGCACATTGGCCACAATTGCATTATGGTACCAGAGATTTAGGATGGGAAATTATAAGGATAGTTCTTGTGGAAGCATCAATGTGCTGCTTACTTTAAACAAGCAAGTGCTTGATCAGACTTTGTTTTGGTCTCGCGTTGGAGCATACTGGACCTAATACACCCATTTTTGACATCATCTTGCACTGCAGACACTGCTTGAAAGGTGAACAGTATTTGACAGTGAAACTACTCTAAGTTATTCTAGGAATGGACCACATAGATAATGCTTGTAGTAAGGTTGATAGCCTGAGAACGCCCCCAGGCTTCTTGTGCAGAATGATGACCTTGAATAGAATGAAAAGCACTTGAAAGTGCATAACCCTCGCCACTGTTGATTATAGAGGTTCAATAGTTGGCTGTCTCAGAGAAGATCAGAGACCGGCAATCTCGCTCCTACTCAACTGTACTATCAATACAGGCAGACCAGCAAATCTTCTCCACACGCGCAAAGCATCCATCTAAGTACAGCGATCGTCCCCGATCTCTATTTGACCACACTCACCTCGGCAGCCGTCCGTTGCACCAGCTTCCCTGCCTTCTCCGCTCCAGAATCTTATTTTACCATGCATGCCTCCTTGATAATATGTCCACATTTCACGCTCAGAGTTGCCGCGGTTACAGAGAAAAACGGTGGACAGACGGACACGCGCATGCACACACACACACACGCCGACTAAAATAACCCTCACTGCGCACGCGTGTAGGCGAGGTTTAATGACCTCTACACTTGCCATGATGGATGGAATCGAGTAATGTAGAAAATGGCAGTAGTGACTGAAACTCCCTTCCTTCTGACCCACTAGCTACCTCTTACGAAAGTGGAAAAAACCTTTTCTTCAAAATGGGGGGATATAGGGATGGTTCGGAACACGAATAAGGAAGGAATTAATTATGCAGCAAAGACACAAAGCTACATGACACCATCCCTATAGTATGTACGATATTGTTGCCGATGAATCAATGGAACAAAGATATAGGGATAGGGTCATAGGTGCGTATGAAGTATAGCTAGATATGGACTCGTAAACTATTGCTAGTGCCAAGGTTGGAAAAGACTGCTATCTGAGTGTCTTTCCCATGCAACACACACTAACCAACCTTAGTTGTGCTTCTATCAACACCCACACCATTGTAGAAACCAATTTTATTAACCGAAAAAAGTTATACTATTCTGTATAGTCTTGCAGGCCATAAGGTATAATAAAGTATTCTTATTGCTAGTGGGTCAGGCTGATACCTCACCACGAGGGGGGGCACTACAACAGCAGATGTATGGCCTGACAATCAAGCTGCCCGTTAGCTATCACTGTATCATAGTTGATGAGACATCATAGGGCAAACAGTGTATTAGCTTTTTTATATCCTTTTAGAAGACGATGGATTTCCGCACACTCAAAGCAGCTGCCTTTTGGGTGTTGGTGCTATTATTATTATTATCCCTTACTTCGTCGGATGTAGCTGCAAATGAGCTCTGTGTTGTTCCCTTAGAATCTTCTCCTTGTCCGTGCAACACTACACACTGCAATACCTTTGATTACTATCTCAACAATCCCGATGATTACTTTGTTTTCAATACAACATTCTTGTTCCTACCGGGAAATCACACTGTATATAGTGTGTATGACGGAGTTGGCGTGTCAGGGATGAACTTTAAGGGATGTAATGCCACCTTGTTGATTTTATCTTATGCTTTTACTGATTCTTGGTTCTCACTACGAGATAGTGCCTTTGTCTCTTTTTCTGGACTCACAATAAGAACAAACTCCTCATTTACTTTCCTAATCTCCTTCATTAATGTTAGTAGTGTGGAGATGACCAATATCGAGATTGAAAGTAGCAACTGTAGTGATACATTATATTTCAGTGATTCAGAAGGATCTTTCCATTTTACAAAGCCTAACAATATCAGTAATATATTATCACATTCCATGGCCCTACATGGCATGGTTTGAAAACATTAGTGGACACATTAATATTTCTGGCTCCAAATTTAATTACTTGGGACAACCGCTGGATGTACAAGCAATTGAGATAGAATCGAGTTCAACTGTAACAGTGAGCATTGTGATACTGAAATCTATAAGGCTCAGGTCTGGTTTGATGTTTTTTATGGTGATAATGTATTTCTACTGGACAACGTGTTGATAAATGGTTCCTACAACATAGGACTTGCCATCTTTACGTATTCTCCAAAAGCTCAATATCATGTAACCATCCTTAATAGTAGAATTGAAAGAGTAAATGGAACTGCACTAAGTCTCGAACTTGGAAACAATTCATCTACTGTGGTGTTAAGGAATTTAGAGCTAAAATTGAACTACGGTTCAGAAGAATTTGTAGCTGCATTGGTAATTGTAGGGGAGAAACCGATATCAAGTAATGCAGTGAAGTTGAATAATATCACATTCGAGTGCAACGTTTACAATGGCGGTGCTACGGCCTTTATGGATACAGTGGAGGCTTCTATGACTAACTGTAGCTTCAGGAATAACATGGGCACTGCACTCTTCCTTGAGAATACAAGACTATCATGTTCTGGCCGCAACAGATTTTTTGGGAATGTTGCAAATGACGGAGCAGGTATTTCGATTGGTGAAGGAAGTAAACTCAAAGCAGAAAGCAATGACACAATGCTAACCTTTGTTAATAACATTGCAAAAAATAAGGGTGGTGCTATCTATCTCAGAATTGACCCAGGAAGTTATATTAGGCTTACTATTGACGGTTCTGATGCTTGGTGCTTTGTTACACACCATTTACTATCTAACAAGTTGTTTTTCTTCGATAACAACACAGCAGATAATGGTGGGGATAATATATTTGGTGGAAATTTCGAGTTTCAGTCATCTTTTGGCTCCAAATACAGTTATGATAATATTATGTCACACTACTACTGCATTGATGCTGTAATGAGCATGTCTACCTTTTCTTCTTCAACCAGCATTTCCTCAGTTGCCTCATCGCCAACTCGTGTCTGTCTCTGTGGAAATGATGGTACACCTCAATGTCTGGAGTATAAGAAGAGTATTTCAATCTATCCTGGTAAGGCTGTCACTCTCCAAGCATTTACTGTTGGTGAGCTTTTTACAACAGTAGAAGGAGATGTTTATGCTCAGATCCTCAACAAAAGTAGCAACACAAAAATTCCTCGTGAGTGGAAAGTTCATAATATTGATGCCCGTAACTGTACAAACAGACCCCTCACTTACAAACTTGTAACAAATGTGAGCGAAACTCTGGTGCTTACAGCACAAGACGTTGAGGTTTCTAACTATGTTGATGAAGCTAAAGTTTGTGCTGCTATTGCAAAGTACAATGAGAGTAAGAGTAATCATTGTTTGCCACCAAAAATACTTTTAAATTTACCACTTTTCATTACTCTTAACCTCCTGGAATGTCCTAGGGGGTTTGATAATGGGTTGGATGGCTGTCAATGTGCTAAAGTGTTTCCAAATAATAGCGAAAAGTATAGAGTGTCATGTAACATTGATACTCAAATCATTCAACGGCAGTACAGTGTCTGGATTGATGCAACTAATACAACTACCAGCTACAGTAAGCAATGTCCCCTAGTGTACTGCAACTCTGCTCTCATGCAAGTTAACCTCAGCAATGTCAATGGAGCAGATGTGCAATGTCTCTATCATCGCTCTGGAGTTCTGTGTGGAGAATGTCGGAAGAGCTACAGCCTTGCCATTGGCAGTTCAAACTGCCTCGCCGACTGTTCTAACGGGTACCTCTCCCTCTTAGCAGTCTTTGCCTTGGCAGGAGTCCTGCTTGTGCTTGCCATCAAGTATCTCAACCTGACAGTAACTCAGGGACTCATCAGTGGTTTGGTTTTGTATGCTAACATTGTCCAGACAAACAAAGCCGTGCTTCTTTCATCTAATGACCCGAGAGTGAGAGCCTTTGCTACAGTCATTGCGTGGTTCAACTTGGACTTTGGAATTGAGACCTGTTTTTCTGAATCACTAGACATGTACACAAAGACATGGCTGCAGTTTGCGTTTCCTCTCTACCTGTGGATTCTGGCCGGAGCAATAATACTAGCATGCAGGTACTCTCACTTTGTTACAAAGCTCTTTGGGAACAATGCTGTTCATGTGTTGGCGACAATCTTCCTTTTGTCGTACAACAAACTACTTCGAGTGATAATCACTGTCTATACAGTTACAATAATCAAGGTTCAAAGAGAACATGCAGAGGAGATAGAGAATAAATATGTGTGGGCATACGACGGAAATATTCCCTACCTTGGTTCCAAGCATGCCATACTGCTTTGCTGTGAGCACAGCTGTGTTCCTCGCTCTCTGGTTACCATTCACTGTCCTTGTTCTCTTGGGTCACTGGCTGCAGAGATACAACCATCTTAAGGGACTTAGGTGGTTGGGGAAACTACGACCGCTATTTGATGCATACCATGGTCCTCTGAATGATAATCGCCGCTACTGGGTCGGAATTCTTCTGCTGGCTAGAGTGTGTGTTATATTTGCAGCAGCTGAACCTGCTGCCTCTAATGAAGAAAGGCTTTTAACAATTGCATTTGTTTCCTTAGTGCTTTTGTTGCTTCTTATATTGTTTGGAAAAATGTATCGCAAGTACCATGCTTCCATTATTGAAGTTGTTTCTTTTGTAAATCTTATGCTTTTTGCTGTACTTGCTCTCTACTTTGAAAACACCAGTGGAAAGCAGGAAATTGCCGTGTATATTTCTGCTGCTATATTTCTTATTTGTTTGGGTTTTGTACTAATCTTCCAGTGCTCTGTTCTAGTAAAGAAGAGGTGTACCTGTAAGAAGAATGAAGGTTCTTATGCCCCCATTAATGAAGAAGATGAACTCCCCGACTTGGTCGATGGTGATCGCTCCTAATTACTTTTGATTGACTAAGTTGCTGACTAAGTTTATATGTAATACAGTTAGGTATATACAACATTGTAATTATGAGCTGAAACTAAACCAGATTTTGTCCTGGTCCAGGTATATACTTCCCTTATTGATATTATGACATATTTTGATATTAATTTCATACATACAACGTTTGAATTGACGATGATAAGTGAAGTTTATGCATGTGGTGATACATTGTCTTGTTCATGCATATCTTTTAGCCATGCAACCAATAGCGACACAATTTCATCTCTCGTTTCTCTTTTCTCCCCTCTGATAATTTCCATTCAGCTTCAGTTTCTATCTGAAAAGAAAAGTAGGGGAAAATAAAATCCAGTAAGGCTGGGATTACCTCATTATCATATTCTCTCTTTGACATCAGGGCCATCAGTTAGAGACTATTCCACTGCTCACAGCACTGTGCACAATAAATCGTAACCACAATTCTTGTATATAGGGGTGGCTTTTTATGGAGGGAAAGGTTTTTATGAGCCAGTCACTCACCCAGAGGTGAGCCGACTGACTCAATGCGACAAGTTCGGTTGCCTGGCATGACCCGTGCAGAGAAGTCCTCATTTACTGTTGGCTGCACAGGAGATGTCAGGCGTAACGGCCAAAACCACGCGAAGGTATTGTCGCATCTTTGGCCCCCTCCCGCCCGCCCCTAAGGCTCATCACATCTACAGCACCTGAGGTAGGGGTTCAACTACACCAGAGAAAACCTATGGTCAAAACACAAACATACCTCGGATAGGCTGTCTCCTTGCTTGCCAGCTGCAAGGCTTTCGGAGGCCAGTCTTGAGGTTTGCTGTCTACAAGCCTTCGGAGACCATTGAGGTCAGAGTTCACCACATTGACAACATGACTCCGTCCAGACTGCTGCTTCCTACACTCAAACCACCATGCCACACATAGACATGGAAACTCCTTCCCTGACAACAGTCATTACACCACACACAAGAAATGCCCTTGAACACCCGGAGAGTTGAACCTGAACCTTGAAGACCCGGCGAGTTGAACCCCGAACCCTGAAGTCATGGTAAGTTGAACCCTGAACCCTGAAGAGCTGGTAAGTTGAACCCTGAAGACCCGGTCTGGTAAGTTGAACCCGAACCCCAGTTGTAAGTGAACCCTGAAGACCCGGTCAGTTGAAGACCTTGAAAAGAAGACCCCCAGTTATACACTGAAGGCCTTGAAGACCAAGAGAATTGATACCTTGAAGACCGAGAGAATTGATACCTTGAAGACCAAGAGAATTGATACCTCGAAGACCAAGAGAAGAATAAATAATTAAAGACCTTGAAGACCAAGAGAATTGATACCGCGAAGACCAAGAGAAGAATTTAATAATTAAAGACCTTGAAGACCAAGAGAATTGATACCTCGAAGACCAAGAGAAGAATAAATAATTAAAGACCTTGAAGACCAAGAGAATTGATACCGCGAAGACCAAGAGAAGAATTTAATAATTAAAGACCTTGAAGACCAAGAGAATTGATACCTCGAAGACCAAGAGAAGAATAAATAATTAAAGACTTTGAAGACCAAGAGAATAATATAAAGACCTTGAAGACCCGAAGAATAAAGTGAAAGGAAAATTAAAGACCCAGATAATGAGTAGAGTGATGACCTTGAAGATCCCAATAAAAGACGGAAGAGGTGATGTGGTGGTGTAATGAGGATTGGAACCAGAGAGAGGGAGATGACAGATTGGAGGAGTCTGTGGGGAGGTGGGATGAGGGAGAACCGTCCCCACACTGGTTGTGAGGTGGCGCCATCGGGAAAAGGAATGACAGGGGCTCAACAACGTGTGCAGTCTGACCAGGGAGGCATTGAAAATGTGGTGAAGTCGACCGTTTCTAAGACGAGGCTCGATGAGGCTGCAGGGAAATAGAAAGCAAGTTTACATACAGTAATGTTACCTCTGAGGTAGCGGCATCTTCTGTGACTGGGAAGCAAAGCATGCATTAGGGACATTGGCATAAAACACATGCAAGGCTGGTCTAAGGTTCTCGAGTCTTACCTTTCGGAGGCCCCATCTCGAAATCGAACATCACCATATTCTCGACACGACTACTCCATCCAGACTGCTACATGCCTCCACACGTTGACACCACTTCCCGACCAGTGGACAGACACTCTGGACCCAGAACTGACTCCATTACCCGACAACACCATGTCATATATACACCAAGTCAAGATGAAAACCCTGAACCCTGGATAAAGTGAATATTTGAGAGGGAAATTAAAATAAGATAGGGCCCAATGCATAATGTAACAAGGTTTGTGTATTAATACGAAATAACTCTAAAGACCTGGACATAGACAATGTGGTGCTGTAGGTTTGGAAGCAGTCCACTGGGATATTACACAGAGTCTAGCTATCACCGTCACGAGGGACGGGAGGAGAGAGAGCTGTCCTCACACCAGTCGCGAGGCAGTGCCAACGAGAAATGAAACGAGAGAGGTGCAATGACACATTCAGTCTGTCCGGGGAGGCATCGAGAATGTGGTGAAGTCGACCGTTTCTAAGACGAGGCTCGATGAGGCTGCAGGGAAACAGAGAGCAAGTTAACATACAGTAATGTTACCTCTGAGGTAGTGACATCTTCTGCAACTGGGAAACATTAGGGATATTTGGAATGATACACATGCAAGGCTGGTCTAAGGTTGTTGAGTCTTGCAGTCTACAAGCTTTCGGAGGCACCATCTCGAAGTTTAACTTCACCACATTCTCGACACGACTCCGTCCAGACGGCTGCACGTGGTTGCCTCGACACGTTGACACCACGTCTCGACCAGCGGACAGAGACTCTGCATCCCAGACAGGACTCAATTACCCGACAACACCACGTCATACACCAGGTCAAGATGAAAACCCTGAACCCTGGAGAAGAGAGAGGTTAAGAGAAGTGAATATATATTGTACACATTGGGAATGAAGTGAAAATAAGTTAAAGGGAACATACTAGGCTAATGATGGAATATAACATTTATCACGAAATTATACTGCAGCAATTTAAACACCTGGACATGTAGACAATGTGGTGCTGTAGGTTTGGAAGCAGTCCACTGGGATATTACACAGAGTCTATCACCATCACGAGGGACGGGAGGAGAGAGTCGTCCTCACACCAGTCGCGAGGCAGTGCCAACAAGTAATGGAACGAGAGAGGTGCAATGACACATTCAGTCTGTCTGGGGAGGCATCGAGAATGTGGTGAAGTCGACCGTTTCTAAGACGAGGCTCGATGAGGCTGCAAGGAAACAGAGAGAAAGTTAACATACAGTAATGTTACCTCTGAGGTAGCGACATCTTCTGCGACTGGGAAGCATTAGGGATATTTGGAATGATACACATGCAAGGCTGGTCTAAGGTTCTTGAGTCTTGCAGTCTATAAGCTTTCGGAGGCACCATCTCGAAGTTTAAACTTCACCACATTCTCGACACGACTCCGTCCAGACGGCTGCACGTGGTTGCCTCGACACGTTGACACCACGTCTCGACCAGTGGACAGAGACTCTGCATCCCAGACAGGACTCAATTACCCGACAACACCACGTCATACACCAGGTCAAGATGAAAACCCTGAACCCTGGAGAAGAGAGAGGTTAAGAGAAGTGAATATATATTGTACACATTGGGAATGAAGTGAAAATAAGTTAAAGGGAACATACTAGGCTAATGATGGAATGTAACATTTATCACAAAATTATACTGCAGCAATTTAAACACCTGGACATGTAGACAATGTGGTGCTGTAGGTTTGGAAGCAGTCCACTGGGATATTACACAGAGTCTATCACCATCACGAGGGACGGGAGGAGAGAGTCGTCCTCACACCAGTCGCGAGGCAGTGCCAACAAGAAATGAAACGAGAGAGGTGCAATGACACATTCAGTCTGTCTGGGGAGGCATCGAGAATGTGGTGAAGTCGACCGTTTCTAAGACGAGGCTCGATGAGGCTGCAGGGAAACAGAGAGCAAGTTAACATACAGTAATGTTACCTCTGAGGTAGCGACATCTTCTGCAACTGGGAAGCATTAGGGATATTTGGAATGATACACATGCAAGGCTGGTCTAAGGTTCTTGAGTCTTGCCGTCTACAAGCTTTCGGAGGCAACAACACTCCGTCAAGACTGCTGCTTCCTACACTCAAACCACCAGGCCACACGTAGACATGGAAACTCCTTCCCTGACAACAGTCATTACACCACACACAAGAAATGCCCGAACACCAGGAAGGTTGAACCTGTGACCTTGAAGACCCGGCGAGCGTTGAAACCCCGAAGTCAGGGGTAAGTGGAAACCCTGAACATGAAGAGTGTAAGTTGAACATGAAGACCCGGTCGCTTGAAGACCTGAAAAAGAAGAACCCCCAGTAACAATGAAGGCCTTGACGACCAAGAGAATTGATACTCTGAAGGACCAAGAGACGAATAAAGAATTAAAGACGAAGGACCAAGGAGAATGATTTACCTCGCAGCCAAGCGAAGATACATATAAAGACCTTGAAACGCCCCCGCGAATGATCCCGCCCGCCCACGAGCGCCAATATAATACAGGACCCTTGTCCAAGACCACGAGAATACTTAATTACTAACGCCCTTTAAGACCGACGCCTCAGTGAAAGGCGGCACCTTCCCGACCCCTGATACTGAGTTTCGAGTGATCGGACATGAACGCTCCCCAATAAAAGACCCCCCGCGCAAGCCGGTGATGTGGTGGTGTAATGAGGATGGGCACCAGCAGCGAGGGACCGATGACCCGATTGCAGGGTGACACCCCTGTGGGGAGGTGGGATGAGGGATACTTACGTCCACCACACCTTGGCTTGGTGACCTGGGTGGCGCCACGGAAAAGGAATGACGGGGTTTCCCTCACAACGGGGCCCGTCTGACCGGGAGGCATTGAAAATGTG